GGACAAGTTAAACCCAAGGATTGTATGAAGAAGTAAATTATAAAAATCAGAGTCAAAATTAATGCAATTGAGACTAAAAAACGAATACAAAGAATCAATGAATCAAAGAGTTCAGTCTTAAATGGAATACTACTCAGCCATGAAGAATGAGAAATTAGAGTCATTCATAGGAAAATGGATACATATTGAGGATATACTCTTAAATGAAATAAATAAGTCACACGTGTATAAATACCAAATAGTCTCTCTGGTGTGAAAAACTATAATAGCACACAAGATCCTAATGGGATAATTAATAGTGTGAAATAGGAAGAAAAGGGCTAAAGGTGTAGGGAATGTAGGAAGGGTAAGGTAAAGGGAATAAGGGAAAAGACAAAAATATGAGAAAATTAAAAAATGGAAATAAAGTGTTTGTAAATGGGGAGGGGAGGAGGGGGTGAAGGGACGGCAGAGACAAGGGGAAAAAATAAGAACCAAGACCTGTCATGTGAAGATACAGGATCCCAGGAATGAATGTAATTGTATTGTATACCTAGATTGTACCAATAAAAAAAAAAAGAGTTGAGTCTTTGAAAGGCTAAATAAAAGACAAATCCTTAGCCAACCTTATCAAAGAAAGAAAGAAAAGACTCAAATCCATGTAATTAGTAATGAAAAGGGAAAAATCACAATGGATCCTTCAGGAATCCAGAAGATCATCAATATCTAATTTGAGAATCTGTACTCTAATAATATGGAAAATTCAGATGAAATGGACAGAGTCCTAAGTACATATGAATTACCACAGCTGAAACAATAAGATAAAAATTCTTAACAAGTCAATATCAAACAATCAAATTGAAGTATTTAAGAAACAAACTACCAACAAAGAAAAGCCCAGGTCTGTTGCATTCACTGCTGAATTCCAAAAGAACTTTAGAGAAGATCTAATGCCAGTACTCCTCAAACTTTTTTTTTTGTTGTTTTTTTTTTTGTACCAGGGATCGAACTTGGGCCCTTGCACTTGAGAGGCAGGCTGCAGAACCACTGAGCCAAATCCAAATCCCTGGCTCTCCTCAGACTCTTTAATGAAATTGAAAAGGAAGCAATATTTCTAAAGTCATTCCTGGAAGCAAGCATTACTCTGATATCAAAACCAGAGAAGGAACCAAAAAGAGAAGTAGAGGCCAATCTCCTTAATGAACATGCAAATATCCTCAATAAAATACTAGTAAAGAGACCAGAGCAAATCATCAAAATATTACACAGCATGACCAAGTAGGATTCATCTCAGGGATGCAGAGATGGTTGCAAATCAATAAACTTAATATACAACATTAACAGAACCAAGGATAAAACCACATGATCATTGCAATATATGCAGAAAATGCCTTTGACAAAGTCTAACACACACTCACGATAAAAACCACAATAAAAATTGAAATAGATGGTCTTTATCTCAATCTGAAAAAAAAAATCTATGACAAAACAACAGCCAACATCATACTAAATGGTCAAAAACTAAAATCTTTCACTCTAAAATCAGGAACTAGACAAGGATGCCTACTATCACTGCTACTGCTCAATATAGTTCTGGACACATTAACCAGAACAGTTAGACAGGAGAAAAAAATAAAAGGAATATAGATAGGAAAAGAAGAAGATAAATTATCATTATTTGCTAATGCCATGCTACTCTACATAGAAGACCCCAGAAATTCCACCAAAAGACTCTTAGAATTAATAACCAAATTCAGAAACACAGGATACAAAGTCAATATTCAAAAATCAATAGTGCTCCTGTACATGAGTAGCAAACTCACTGCTAGAAAAATCAGAGAAACAACACCTTTCACAACAATATTAAGAAAAATGAAATAGGGCTGGGGGGTATGATAAAATAAAATAAAATTTATTAAAAGTTTAGAAAAAGAAAAATAAAATATTTATAAATGAATCTAACAAAGGAAGTGAAAGACCTTTACATTGAAAGCTACAACACTCTGATAATGGAGATGGAAGAGTGTATAAAGTAAATGGAAAGATATTCTCTGTTCTTGGATAGGCAGGACCAATATAGTGAAAATGGCCATACTTCCAAAACTGGTTACAGATTTAATGCAATCCCAATCAAAATATCAATAGCATACCTCACAGAACTAGAGAAAATAATCTAAAAATAAGGAACCAGAAAATATCTAGAATAGCAAGAGTAATTCTGAGTAACAAGGGCATCCCAATCCCTGATTTGAAGTTATGCTGTACCTCAAAGCTACTGTGATAAAAACAGCTTGGTATTAGAAAAAAAAACCCACAAACAGACTCGAAGATCAATGGAACAGAAACAACCTCAAGCATACCCTGTCTTTGACAGAGGGGCCCTTCACTGAAAGCAAGATGGCTTCTTTATGCCATCTACATGGTCCTGGGGAAACTGGCTTTCCACATGCCATAGATTGAATCTAGACCCATGTCTCTCACCATACACTAAACTAAAATCAAAATGGATCAAATATCTAAATATTAAAACAGAAACAATCTGCAGGAAGACAGAATAGGTAGAATTCTTGAAGACATGGGTATATGTAAAGACTTTATGAACAAAATCTAACTACACAGGAAATACTATAAAGAATCACCATATGGGATCACATTAAATTAAAAAGTTGTTGCACAGCAAAAGAAATCGCCAAGAGTGAAGAGACAAAATGGGAAAAGGCTTTTACTAGCCACTCCTCAGGCAAAGGACTAATATCTAGAATATATAAATAACTTAAAAAATCAGACTCCCCAAATTTAAAGACTCAATCAAAAAATTGGCATCAGAAATGAATAGGCATTTCCCAGATGAAGAAGCACAAACAGCAAAGAAATATATGACAAAAATGTTCAACATCACCGGTCATTTGAGAGATGCAAATTAAAACAACACTGAGATTTCATCTCACTCAAGAAAGAATGGCTATAATCAAGAAATTCACCAATGACAAATGCTGGAGAGGCTGTGGGGAAAAGGAACCCTTCTCTGTTGCTGGTGGGAGTATAAATTGTTACATCAGTATGGAAATCAGTATGAAGATTCCTCAAAAAACTAAAACTAAAAAGTGAAAGTGTAAATAAGAGTTAAAGTGTATAATTGATACTGTGTAATAGGAAGAAAAGTCTAAAAAAAGTAGAGGAAGTGGGACGGGTAGGGGAAAGGTAAAAAGGGAAAAGAAAAATATTGTGAAAAGGAAGAACATAGAAATAATGTCTTTGTAAACAGGGAAGGGTGGAGGAGCTAAGGGGATGGCTGGGAATGGGAAAAAATAAGAACCTGACAAGTCACGTTTAGGTACAAGATCCCAATGATGAATGCAACTGTTGTATACCTAATATGTACCAATAAATTTAATAAAAATTAGCTGGGCATGGTGGTGCATGCCTGTAATCCCAGCATTCAGGAGGCTGAGGCAAGAGGATCCCTGTGAGTTTGAACCAGCCTGGGCTACATAGTGAGTTCCAGGTCAGTCTCAACTAGTGTCTCAAAAAAAAAAAAAAAAGATAAAAAAACCCCTAAAACTAGAGGTTCTGTTTGATCCAACTATTCCACTCCTAGGACTTCTAGGTATCTTCCCAGAAGAGTTAAAAGCTTCATACCGCAGTAATATATGCATACCTATGCTTATAGCAGCACAAGCTATAATAGATATATCTTGGAAAAAGCCTACATGCTCATCAACAGATGAATAAGGAAAATGTGGTATTTACATACAATGGAGTACTACTCTGCCATAAAAGAAGAGATGAGTCATTTTTAAATAACTGAATCTAGCTCAAGACCATAATTTTTTCAATGCTGTCTTTATAATGATCAGTAATATATCATCCTATTCCCCTTTTACAGGCAACCGAAAAATGATAGGCTAGGGACAGAACACTGCGAACTCTCTCTACTGTTAGAATCATCATCCATTAAAAGACCATTAGCTAATGGTCACTAAATTTACATATTGAGGATATAGAATACTGCAAAGATACAGTAAAAAGTCTGAAGTTTGCCCACTTCTGCTCAGGTAGTCCCTCTACTTCCAGGCTACATAGTAAGTTGTCCTTTCCACTTCAAAATGTACTGCTACTATTACTTTCTCCTCCTTTTCTTTGGTTCTCCACTGCCAGAACTTCCAGAGTCTTCTCTTTTAGATGCCATCGTTTGGATGCCATTTCGAAGAGCTTCAGTGATGCCTGCTGGAGGCTGAAGATGCCACCTGCCCGATGTTTTCTCCTGTTTCACCGTCTTTTCGAGCCAAGAGCGCCCTCATTTTGGGACTCTCTTCCTTTAGCTTGCTGCAGTCATCAGCAGGCAGTTGGTCCTCGAACTCTTCCTTCTTTGTTTCTGCACCATGAATTATTCCTTCAGCCGCATTAAAGGCTTTAACTCATTCCTTCTTTCGCCGGTCTTCCTCAGCTTACTTCTCTGGACTTTTTACCATATTTTCAATATCAATTCTGCTTAAACCAGCAGAGGATTCGGTTAAATCTGGTGCTCATGCCCTGTACCCTTATCTTTGGCAGAAACATGTACAATCCCATTGGCATCCATGTCAAGTGTAACTTCAATCTGAGGGACTCCATGAGGGGCTGGGGGAATGCCAACCAAAGTAAACTGCCCTAGAAGCTTTTTGTCTCCAGCCACTTCTCTTTCACTCTTGACGTGCTTCAATCTCCACTTGAGTCTGTCCATAAGCAGCAGTAGAAAACACCTGGCTCTTCCTGGTTGGAATCGTGGTACTGCTGTTAATAAGTCTGGCAGAGACACCTCCCACTGTCTCAGTATCCAGAGACAGAGGAGTGACATGCAGGAGCAGCGCATCTGTGACATCACCAGCCAACACACCTCCTTGAATTGCTGCTCCACAGGCCACATCCTCATCAGGATTGACAGCTTTACTTGGAGCTCGACCAAAAAGATTCTGCACAGTCTGCTGAACCTTGGGCATCCTAGTCATGTCACCAACAAGAATCACTTTTCCCATGCCACTAAAAATATGGAATACATCATGAATTTGCATGGCATTCTTGAGCAGGAACCATGCTAATCTTCTCTGTATCGCTCCAGTTTTAGTATAGGCACTGCCGAAGTGAGCACTTGAGACCATAATTTTAAGAGAAATAAATCAGACATACAAGTTTAAATGTCACACCATTTCTCTTGTGTGAGAAATGCAAAGGGTAAAAAAGGAACAAAATGGAGGACAGTCATTGGGAAGTAGGAAGAACATATTCAACTGGGAAGGGAAATAAAGGAAGGGGAAAGTAAAGAAAAGGAAGGGAAATGGATTAAAAAGAAAAGAGAATGGAAGGAAAAATAGAAACAAAGCATTTATAAATGGGGAGGGGAAGAAGGTTTGAAGGGAGGGGAGGAAAACGGGCAAAAATAAGAATTAAGATATATTATGTACATGCACAAATTCCCTATGGTGAATGTGATCATTATGCATGGCAAATATGTACCCAATAAAAAAATAAAAAGAACAAGCACCTCATGCATGCAGAAATGTATTTAAAAGCCTGGAGTTTAAAATTGTCTCTCTAGCAATCAGCTGTAGTAGGTGAGGACACCAGTTTAGACCTGGATATTGGAAAGCAGTTTTGTCATGGAGTGGAATGGCACAATGAGAGCAAAGAATTAAAGGGCTTGGGCAAAGAGGAGATAAACAGAGCATTCAAAGTTAAGACAAAGATCAGCAAAGCACTAGTCACGTAACCAGTAAGGAGGAAATAAGAAACGTTGATAGAGTTTTCTTGCCTTTTTTTCTGCCTTGGTGTCTACCCTCTTTATGAGCTTTTTCTAGAGGGAGGAGGAGTTATTCAAGTGCTCAAAGCTCAGGGTGATTACCAAACCACATTTTTCCAGATATAGTTTCTAAGCTGATGTTCTCTTGTTGCAGCACACTGGGGCAGGGTGTGTCCACTCTCTGCGGGCGTTCTGTGTGCTACGCAGTATCCAGGCTATTCCAGAATTTTTCATCTCTCAGAAATGAGAATAGCTTTCTGTAGGTTTGCAGGCCCACACTCTATCCTGTGATTTAGCTTAACTAGATCTCTCTTTCTGTTTAGTTATCATTCGCCTATGCATATTCCTCCATTAGGAATCCTTGAAAGATATCTGAGAGGTGGGATTTCAGCTCTTCAGCCCAAACCCTGGCATTCATTAATAATCAATTAATATGTAATCAATAATTAATCCTGAATAATATATTTTTAATTGAAAAAAATCACTCTCCCAAGAAAGAGGCAACTAGAACTGTAACTACAGTAGAGACAAGTCACGAAGTTAAGAGAAAAATGGAGACAGGCTCTATTTGCTGCATCATCTACAGAGGATGGAGAGGGAACCATCGTTCATCCACTCATCTGCTCACCTATGCACCCTTCTCTCTCTTTCCCGCACCTCCATCCCACCCCACCTTCTCTGTTTCCCACTAAGAAAGGGAATGTACCTTTTTACAGATTCCCAGGTATATTTCAATGAGACTTTGGGATTGCGAGCTGCCAAGTCTCCTTTGAGCAAATGAAGTTCTTTGGGTATCAACTCTTTCTGAAAGTAAATGGTTGTGTCAAACCTTTCCATTGTTAGTAGGAGATGTTTTTTGGTGAGCTATGTTGTCCTCAGCAAAAAAAAAAAAAAAAAAGTTTTAAAGGAATGAAGACGTC